ATACATATTCTATATTTTAAAAAAATTAACGTCAAATTTAGTGTTCAACAATACATTCTTTTTACGCTCAATATATATAAAGAATTTCAAATTATATATATACTTATTATAGTAATAAGATTTCAGATTTAATTTGATCTAAAATGTGCCGTATTAAATAAAGTAAATGATGCAAATATCATATTAAATTTGTTCAATAATTTACTAATGAATTCAATACATTAAAAAAATAATGAAAATTGTATGCAAGTTTCCAAAAAAAAGTTTCTTACATCTCACAGGTTTCTGTTAAATTTTCTTAAGATCAGTTTTACTATTTTTTAAAGAGAAAGTGGATAAAAATAAAAATAAAGTTTAGGTATAAGACAAAGACATAAGCAACCTTCTCATTGGCCAAAATATAAAAAAATGTTAATCAACACAAAGCCCTACATAACCTGCAAAAGACCTCTAGTTTACTATAAACAGCTTTTCCGTTTGCAACTGCACATATTTTTGCTACTAGATAACAACTTGACATAAGCAATTCAATTCTTTTGCAATTAGAACATTTAGTGATTAAATGTGCAAGGATTATAAATTAAAAACAATGCATATATTCTGTTAAAAATTTTAATTTATATTCTCTGGAATTCCACCATATTAAAACCAAAAACTCTAGTATGCATTCACAAAAATACATGTTTCTTTCTACTTAGAATTTGAGAAACGTTGTCTTTTATGTGTTTATAGAGTATATCATATTAAAAAAATTACAAAATAATAATAAGAGCCTAATTCTTCAGTTAGAAATTAAACTTATCCAGCAGGTTTTTTTAATGTCATATATATATATATATATATATATATATAATTAGTGCAGAAATCGAAATGCAAATTTTACATTTGATACATGTATGATTTTGTTTTATCTAAAAGACAAAACATGTGTTAACTATGTATAATTGTTGGACATCTAGCAATGTTAGAAGTAGTAAAAGTACCATTAATAATTTTATAATAAGATTGTATAACTAATGATGGCTCTTAAATATTTATAATCAAAAAATAATTATTTCTTACCTCTAAACACAAGGATACAATAAGAATTCAGATATTTTTGCAAAAATATTCACAAATTTTTCGGTTAACATACTTGTAAAATCTACATATATGACCTCTACTATTGATTGATGTAACTATTTTCTAATTCTTTAATACTTTTTTTGATAGCAATCACTTAATTAGAAACTTATGATTTTTTGAGTTAATCAATTTTCAATTATCAAGATAAATTTGTAATATATATATATATATATATATATGTGTGTGTGTGTGTGTGTGTGTGTGTATATATAGACAAGCTCTGTTGTTAACTACAATTTATAATTCGATTTTACTTATGGTTATAATCATTTTAAAGATTTAAATATAATCTTTAAATGATTAAAATAAAGCCAATAGGGCGCAATTTAAACATGTATCTACATTGAATGAATATTTCAAGAAAATGATTATTTGAAGTATAATTAAACATTTATTTCTGATACAGGAACTTTATAGTTTAATACAAGGTATTTGTAGTATGAACACATTTCCAATAAACACATTAGTTTGATACAGTCAATGTATGCACACTCATTTGATTAGACCATATGATAGTTTGACAAATTAGTTCAACTCTATATAATATACTATTTAACAAGGAAATATATATATTTACAAATTGTGGTGCAATATCAATATTTTCTTGCATAAATATATTATTTCACAAAAAATTAACCACTTGTTATAAATTTTGCAGCAAATAAAATACATCATCTAATATTATAATACAAGCCAGTCTCTCAAACTTTGAAGAACTTGCTCTTTTAGTTGCTAAAAAACGTTATCTACAAATATTTTTACAATATATAAAAATTATGAAATTGTTGCCAAGCCTTGAGTATATGCTCTAAGTCAATTATCAAAATATTTATCACATTTGTATGCATATATATATATATATAAAAATACATAAGGATTCAAGAGCAGATATATGTGACACTTGGTTCTTCATTAGAACAATTTAGTACAACACCATTTATGTTCATTCATAATAAGAAATATGTTTTTTAATTGTGGTATTATTCTAAGTTAAATAGCCTTAGGGTTTCAAACCAAAATATCTGTAAAATAAGGAAACATATATTTTTGTAATTTTCCAAGCTGCTGTAAGACAACACATGGAAGAAGTTTAAAAGCAATTCAAGATTTTAAATAATGCATTTAAAGATATGAATCAATCCAAACATTTGTATTTACTCTTATTTTTTAATAAAATAAAGACAAAATCCTAAATTGCAACTGTGAGGGATTTGATTGAGCTGAGATAATATTTAGATGAGAGTACCAAATGTTGAATGAAATTCATGACGAAGTGAAGCACATAAATATATAAAGTGGCATCTTAGATTATGGTATATCTAAAATGTAACGATTCACAGTTGATGATCAAGTAACCAAATAATCCTATTTTGGTTGCAGTTTTATTGTTGTTTTAGTTATTTGATTTGGGTATTATTCTGTTACTTAATATATCAAAACAGTAAAAACGATGAGACATCAAAAAATTGTGGACTGTTTGTCCTGTGTGTAAATGTATAAATATATAAATGTATAAATGTATCATGCTATTTATAATAGATTATTATACTTATAGTTGCTATGGAATGTCAACACCTCAAATTCTGATTAGCTGATCTCATGCACATTATTAGTCAGGGATTGAACAAAAAAAGCCACATAATCTTTGTGAGAGATATTTGCATGTTTTGTTGCTGTGATAAGTTTAGTGTAAAACAAGGCTGTTCTCAAAGACCCATACCGTGAGGGCTCAAATGAGATGCCCATATTTACCAACCTATTGTTGAAGACAAATGTAATTACCATTTCCATTGTCATGGATTCATGGTTCCTATCAAGTCCATAAACTACTGATTAGGGTAAGATAGAGGTTTCTTTTCCTTTAACCTTTTTTTAGCCTCTTCCTCTCTTTACAATGCAAACCTTTTGGTTGCACTTTTTGAGGAACCAAACTTTTTGGAGGTCACATTAGTCCTGCAGCACTTGCAAAGGAAGCCCCATGCCTGCAGATTCATATATATATATATATATATATATATATATATTTTACTATTTAAAAATTGATTGCTGGTTTTTGCACCTCACAATGTGGGAATGAACTTTCATGTGAAGGTGAGAGAATACATAGAGAATATACCCTAAGTGATAGGGGGAGGTGAGTGTGTTTTTTAATAGGGTGTGCCTGGGGAAGGCTACATGAGGCTCACATTCCCACATTGGCCCCCTCTCTCTCCACAGCACTTGGAGTTTTCCTAAACAGCTGCAGTAAAAAGGCCATCGGAGCTTTGGCATCAGTAGCCAACAAGCAGCTGCTTATGGACATAGCCCCACCACAAATCAAAAAAAGAAATCCCAACATGAATTGTTCCACCAAAAACACCATTTATATGAGCAACAGGTGAGAATGCTACACATCATTCATTCTCACTTTTTTGCTGTCTCAGCTACATCATAGATTACTGTGAGAATGTTCTCTATCAAGGATACTGTGTGATTTGCCCCCCCCAGTTGTGTGGCTGGGGACCCAAAAAGCCTGCTGGCATTAAACTGAGTAAATGACAAACATGTGTGTGTCCAGGATTGATTCACTAAACCAGAGCATGATTAGCAGCTCCCTCAGCTATCTCACTCTGGCTCTGTTTGATGACAAGGGGTCAAGCTGTAATTCTGTTTTTGATGCAACCAGGCTGGTCTGCTGAGATTTGATGTTCTTGCCCAATGTTTTGCAGTGAATGCTGGCCTATGTCCTCTAAAAGAGAAGCAGTAAGGGTCACTGCCACAGTGTTGAAAAATTCACCAGTGCTCAAGAGGGCCCCAGACTCCCTTGGTACAAATTTTTCAGTCCCTGTTGAGTCTCTCTTTGTAAATTACTTTACTTGTGTATGTGTGTGTGTGTGTGTGCCTTTGTTCACGTATGTGTACAAATAAAGATATATATTAGAAATGCTGTTTCATAACTTGTTTGTTTTGATTCCACATTTGCAAGAGTTTGAAAATAATAACCATCCACACAAATGCACATGCAAAGACTTGCCCCATGTTTTTAAACCCACAAGGTAAACCTAGGAGCTGAATTTTCTGGAAGAAGTGATGGCATATCCACAAGGGTCCAAATAATAAAATCTGCCAAATTAATGCTAGAGATTGAGTGTGAAGTAGCAAGGCTGTGAGAGAGGCCATGATATGACACTGCAAGTCACTTCAACCAGATTGTCCAAGCCTCACTATATCTACACATCAAGGGATGATTTGATGAGAAATCTAGGGAGGTGAAGTACACACCACAACAAGTGGTATGACATTGTATGTGTGTTGCCTCATGGGCCAAGGTAATGGGCAGCCAACCCAGCATACACAGAAAGCACAGCAAGGATTGAAGCTTCAGGAAGTAGAGTGCAGGAGGGGTAGACAGGCAGGATAGAATTCTGAGCAGATAGGGAGAGGGGTAGTAGGAGTGGGTACACACTATGACAAAAGAACTGGGTGTCAAAATGGGTGGAAGTGGGGAGGGGGGGTTGGTTCTAGGGGTAGGGTGTGGGTGCATGGAGTTTGACACCATGGTTGGGCCTGGTTTCAGTGCAATTGTCTACAGAAGCACAGGACAGAGCTGAGCAGAGTAGAGTAGAGCAGAGCAGGGCAATCAGTACATTTCTAGGTAAATATGGTTACATAAGAATAAGATGGAGCAGTTAAAGGGCCACCCACACCCACCTGGGAGGGAGGGGAGGCCAAGCGGGTCGCACCCGGTCGCAGTGACTGGCTGGCAGCGGTGCTAGTCGAGAGTGCGGTCTATCCAGAGGACTGAAGTGGCCGGTGGTCGGGGAGCACTGGGGGGTCGGCGCGCCGGGCCAAAGAGGGCGGAAGGGGCCGGGTCAGAGGTGTGAGAGAGTTGCAGAGTCGGCCCGGCTTCAGACATTCTAAAGTCAACAAGGGGCCTCATGCTCATCAGGGCAGGGCAGGGAGTGGCTTAGTTGCAGGGGCTTGAGAGACAAAAGGAGTGTTTGTTTTTGTGTTAGACCTGTTCCTGGCTCACGGGGACGGAGGTGGGTGGTGGCGTCTTGAGACGACGAAGATGAAGGAGAAGAAGAAGCAGAAGACTGACTGACTGGCTTTTAGGCGCTTTTAGCTTGCTTGTGTGTCGTCCCTCCCACGCTGGTGATCGAGAGCGGGATGTGTATATCATGGTTGCCACTGCTTTCCGTTGAGGAGCAGACCTTACCACCCTTTTCTTGGTGACGAGAGCGATAGCAGGCGTTACTTTTCTTCACCCCACAGTGGCTGCCGTTGCTATTGTGCGCTGCTGATGGTGAGGATGATGATGAGGATGATAGCGCTGGGGAGGGTGCTACCAGGACACCACCACATGTGACCTGTTCTTGGCTTGAATGCATGCTACTGGATTGATGCTGTCGGCTTTGGCAGCTCTGCTCATGGACGCTGTACTCGCCACCGCAACGACCTTATAACGTCAACCTTCCATACTCTAACCCTCCTCGATTCTACCGCCTACTCCCGTGCAGTGCAGCGAATTGGGTTTGCATGTTTTGCAAAGCCTGATGAGGTCGTAGAGCAATTCATTCTCAGATGTTTCGAGGGTCCAAAACTGCACTTTTGCCTGTCGCTCCTCGTGAGTACTGTTCATGAATGCTTCGTGGTCCAATCCCATCTATCGTCCCACTGGAGACACACCTCTCCTGTACTTGCTAGAAAAACAATAATCTCGACAGGTTTGTGAGTAAAGACGACGTCTGAGCGCTGCTATCCTATTCAATGTGCATTCTCTTGTTCCACCAACAACACGCTCCATGAGGTAGGGCTCCCAAAGTCCTATAGTTGTGCATCAAGACAGAAAGTCCAGATTCGGGGCATTCGCACGACCTGGTACCTTAATGGTTACTTGATCAACATCTTCACAGTGTGGTGCTCTCTCTCTTCATGTAAGTCGACTCCCTTTGTGGGATGTACCTGAGTCTCTACTCACCAGACCAAGAACTAGACTTGTAGAGCGAATCATCAACCTACCGGATAGTACTAGCTCAGCAGATCTTACCTAGTTCGCCCCTATCCCCGATGTCTTTTCTTCAAGAGCTTCTTCAAGTACAGGTCTTGTTACAATCGATGCTTCCGCTCCGTCATCCTTCTCAAAGATCGGGTTTCTTTCCAGCACCTTTTTTGAGTCCCTGAGAGAGCTTCACCAATTTTGCGTTCCTCTCGGTCCATGTCTGTCAAAGTCGACGTCTTCAGGTTGCCACTGGGGATCATCAACTTAGTGCGGCAGATTGTTCGGATGAGGAGCGCTGCAAAGCCTACAAACACCTCAACATAGGAGACGCAATTCTCTTTGCCATTTATGGATCACATCTAGCGTGAAGACTTCTGGGAGCACGCACGACTGCGGAATAAAAGCGGGATGCAGGGCCAAGTGGATTACAGCAGTGGCAGTGATGGAGGGCAGCCAGGTCAGAAGTGGGGCGACAATAATTCGGGTAAGCGGCACTCGTCATCCAGTGGAGAGTACACTCCAGAACGCTCTTCCGAGAGTCAGAACGCGTCCGGGGAGAGCCCCCGCAGTGGATATCAAGGAGGGTTCAGCGGCGGTACCGGGCGGAGTGGGGGAACAGTGAGGCAATATGTGCGTTCGAAAATGCCTCGATTGCGCTGGACTCCAGACCTGCACCGCTGCTTTGTGACGGCTGTGGAGCGGCTTGGAGGCCAAGACAGTGAGTAGTTCTCGCATTTTTTTTCTCTACTCTTCCCACATCAACTAAGCTCTCTTTCAATCTCAATGGTCGGTCGATGAAAGATTTTAAATTGGTAACATTCTTCTCCACATCAGTGAGGCAATCAGGTTGCTGTTCAGTGGATCCAGCTCTCGAGTCTCCGCAGTCTCACGACGCAGATTCTCTTGTCAATGAGCAAGTGCAGTCACAACACGGTTGTACTTGCCCCACAATTATAATCCTTGAGTGTGCGTAACAAATTCCTCACCTCGTGCAGTCTGACGTCAGAACGATTTTCAATTTCGATGATAGAAGTGTTCACCAGGAAATCTCGTAGATACTCGTCCTAAGATACGGAGGCCCATGATGTGATTGCAAGTCACATACGGGAGCAGGTGGTTGCAGACGGACATTGCGTACCATAGTCTGGAACACCAGATTCTCTGGGTATAACTCTGAAGTAGAAGCCTCGCAGCTTGCGGTCTGGCTGCTTCGCTTAGTGAGGGATGTTGCTAGTCGTTGCTGTAGGTTATATTTCTTTTACCCCGTATTAAGTATCGTCAATGAAGGTCAAGTTCTTGCTGTCAGATGTGATGACTATGATGTGACTGATAGATTAATTTTAGAATCATTTGGCGCAGGAGCGACACCGAAGCTGGTTCTTCAATTGATGGATGTCAAAGGACTCACTATTGCTCACGTCAAAAGCCACCTGCAGGTAAGACCTATAACTCGGATTTGCAGAATTTATGTCTGATTCAATTCAAACTTGACCAAGTTAGTTCTTCACAGATGGCTACGAAAGTCATGTTTGGATTGCCTTCTTTCCATCATTCAGGGATTCTTAAGTACTTTCCCATCAATGGGCCATGTTACTGCTTGCAGCCATACCGGCATTGATCTAGAATCCTCAGTCTCCAGCCCTAAATTGACCCAATCTTTCAACGTGTATTATTGCACAATGCACAAAGATATCCGACAGTTGTCATAACTCGTCTATTGGTGTGAAGTAACATTCCTCTAACTCCATCATATTCGGACGCGCTCTGTGTAACCACTGGGTTGTGACGTTCGTTTTGCAGATGTACCGGAGCATGAAGAACGACGAGAACGGACAAAGTGGTACATTTCCTTTTCCATTTCTACTGGCTGCTTTTAAGACGGAGCAAATGTAGTTGGAGTGTGACGATCTTGAATGGGCTTTCTGCATTTGGATAAGTTGGTTTTTTCACACTGGCGGTGATTCCAATTTACCAGGCGGTGCTCCCCGAATTATGAACACCCCATGTGCTCATTGATGCTCCCGCTTGCAAATTCCAGGCACAGTGCGTCTCGCCGTCGTCATGCAGGCTAGCGCCGTATCGACCCTCTAGGTTTAGAAAGACAGTGTAAATATAGACAAGAGGTCTGATGTCCAAGCTGCGCCGCTTTACTCTAAAGCACCAGGCCGATTCTATCGCTTAAAGTAATTGATAGGCAAGGTGATTGAAGTAGCATCATCGTCTGGTATGATCAATCTCGGCGGAACACATCAACATCGGTAGGATTTCAATTTAGATCTGTGCATAGTTATCATGGTCCACACAGAGAATGGAACTCTAAAGCCGAGCATATTGCTACGGCCTGTCATCGTGTCAGTAGGTCAACCTAGTCGTGATCGAAAAGCTCAATGAGATGTGCTCATCAGTCAGACTCGGTCTATTGGACATGAGTTCAACCTGAGAGTGCGTAGGGTATTTATGCCTGGCCATGAAAGCGCTAAAGTGGATGAGTTCTGATGCACACCGAATTAGCACCAGTCAATGCGATTTCTCCTGTTCCTGGAGTATCCTAACTTAATTCTATCACGAGATAAAGTGGGTTACATTGAGAGAGTCGGGAGAAGGAATTTCAGATTAGATTAAGAGTCTAACTATTACTTCCGACTTCGTCTTCTACCTCAAATGTGAAGTCTTCAAGTATCACACGAGCTTCATTAATGGTGTCATCAGTGTCGTCCCGCAGGATTGGTGCAAGCAGATCAGATGATGGAATATCATGGCACCTCTGACACAACTTTACTGCACTCATCCTTCGGGCTTCAGCGCAACGATCATTTCCAAGGGCAAGCTCTGCACGTCAGAGATTCCGATGTGACAAGTGTACCTATATTCCCAAATTATCTTCATCGTCAGGCTGGAATTCTTCAACAATTTGACCATCATCCTGTCGTGACTTCCAGGTAGAGCACATTGAAATTAGATAATCTTCTCAACTTGTAATGAAGCTGTGGCGATCATAAGTAGTTGTACATGATGCATTCGGAAATGAATCAATTAATCTGATCGCAACCTCGACCAACAGACTAAAAGCTGCTCCCAATTCATATCTTAGTTTCTCGTCCTTTTCCCCGGTTCGTCTTTTCTTGACAGGCACGATGGACATGGAGAATGGACCAACCGGGCTTTCGTACCATCTGGACTTCCTTCTGGACATCGAGATTGGTCAGAAAACAAGATTCAACTCGTGGAGTGGAGAAAGAGAGAAGAGAGTTTGGCAAAGAGTTCTCATATGGCAGGGAATTCGTTCAGTAATCAATCCAGAATTGACATGCATGAAGATGAATGGCCAACAAGACCGTCACATTCGGTCACTCTAGACTGGGAAAGAAAACGTCAACAGCCTGATAGTATTGGTATTCTCATCCTCACTTCACATGCTCGATTCAATTAATTAGTATTCTGTTATTTTATGGCTCAAGCCTCACATGGTTGGACCACTTGGCACCAGTCTAACATGCTGAATATGGTTTGGTTCCGTTCAGAAGGAAGATTTGCTGCATTTCAAGAAGGCCCTTGGTTGCAACCAGGAGCTATTATCCCAACCATGGCTTCTTCTCAGCAATTAGAAGCCCTGAAAAAGCAGCAGGAAAAGGCAAGTGAGTGGGACCGATGGCAAGCTCAGGGAGCACGACAAGACTTGCCAAAGCAATCTAGCCGACACAACGCATCGGAGGAACGCACTTCGACATCGCTAGATTCTCGCATGCTGTTCAAGCAGCTACTAGAGCCTAGCCGCAGCTCCTCTAACGTTCAAGAAATGCAGCACCGCGCGCGCGAGGACGAGGTCTCGCATCGGACGCCGGGGTGGCCTGTTATGTTCGGAACTGAAAACCAGGTGAAAATTGGACTGTGTGTTTCGTTGATTCTGTTCTTAAGTGGGGCACATATTCTATTCCACCTTAGGATCCAGGTCTCGAGTTGATTCCTGAGTTTTGCAACACAAGTATCCAAATAGACATTAACTTGGTGCGTCTCGAGTGCAGAGGGGATTTGAGAAGTATGCGGAAAGAAGTCGACATGCATTTACAGAAGATCAAGCAGACACATCAAGTCCATGGACTTTCAGTCAGCGCTCTGAACAGGCCATAACATCAACCCAATTTAACGAAGTTCACGACAGGGAGCCCGATAGTACCCTCTCACTGTACCCGTTCAGCTCCCACTTGACGCAGAGTTCCTTATCTCCATCGAAGCCTCGACAATCGATGAGCTTACCGGACATTAACGAAGACCATCACGACTTTCCCAGCTCATTAGGCCTGAGCGAGACTCTACAGCTGTCGTCATCGCAGGGTGTCACCTTAGATCTCACTATGTCTCTAGGTGCTCCAGGTTAGCTTTTAAGCTTTTTCTCTGTGTCAGTGAAACAAACCTTTTCAGCTTGATTGAACAATCATTTAGCCTCTTCAAGAGCCGTCCACATTTTTTGTCCGTTAATTTCATCTAGAGGTACTCACAATTTTGTCAACAGCTTTTCTAGATACATGTCATCCGTGCACCTAGTAGATGGCCGTTGGTGAGGTGAGAGCTTATATCACCACAGCTTCACATATAAATAGCAGGAAACACGTAGAAGCCTCACCAGCAGCCATCACCGATGAGGTCGCAGTGAAATAACACCTCAGTGCTTGTGGGCACAGATCCTAAAGAGGGGTCAAATTTGGAAGCCTGCAGACTAATTTTACAGATAAAAAGACTTTTACTCTCCCCAATTTCAATGTCTACTTTCACTCTAGCTGCATTTATCGTTTCCTGATTACTGGATAGCATTGCACTTCTTAGGCGTACTTGGGAAGAGTGCGAGGTACATTCAGGTCCGTGCACGGACAACGACTGGATATGTAGGCCGGTGTCTCAAGCGTGGTATAGTTATCCTTCCCGATGCTATGTTCTTGTTCTCCAGACATTATTACTAGCTAAGGACCAGCGTCTTGCCTATAAAGACATATATTAATCTTATCAAACATTCATTCTTTGTTGCTGTCGACGTGCATCAATGTGAACCACGTTAACACGTTTTCCTTTTGACAACATTATACGTCAGAAGAATATCAAGTGGCGATTGTCTTATTCATTTACGCTAGTCTGTTCAACGACTTTGAGAATCACCATCAATGAAACGCGTTTTCTGACCTGCAGGCTTCAAAGAGACTACAATCTTTGCAGTGGATCTCCGCAGGTGAAGTATAATTTGCTGGTCATTCCAAAACAACACGTCAATTTGTAGTCCAGCGCTCAAAGCATTCCAGCAGTTACGCCTTGTATTAAAATACTTGAGCTACAAGCTGACTACAGGCTAAATTCCAATAACTTAAGTTGTGCAGAGTACTGAAATTTTTATGAAAGGAAACAATCTTGAAGGAATCGACTGAGTGCTATTTGTGCGATCTATATGCGCAACGCCATCATAACTCCCCAATGCTGTGAACGGCAGTAAAGAATATCTATAAAGCTCGAGAGGATTCTCTGCAACTGAAACCCTGACTTGTGGATTGTCTACAGAAGCAGGGTGCCTCGACTAGCGATTGCTGGCTTAATAAATACCGGTACTTTCACACTGTTTAAGTGTAGTGGTGCATCTGGAATGTGTCACAGGACATGCATGGAATGTTGTAAATCAGCAAATTGAACTTTTAAAAAAAATGGCGTGTTGATAGTGCATACAAATCAGGCATGTGTTTTGATTAATCTGTACTTCGATAACTTGGAGCACAAGAGTGAAACTAATCAGATCGGCTGAGTTTAATTGATAAACTTAGACAGATCTATCCATCAAACTTTACTAACTTACAGGCCGTTGTGAACTTCAAATACTGGCTCTGGAAGGTAAACCTAACCAATTTGGTGGGGCCCGGTTTGGGACATGGGAACAAAGCAACAAAGGAAGGATTGTCCCAAACAGCCAAATGATCTGTGTCGTATAGATTCTGACTAAAGTTTCTGAGCCACTGTTCAGCTTTTTAAAACCACTTTATGGCTTCTGGCTTCCAGCTCTGCATTTTGCACGCAGATTGAGGAATTTCTCAGACTGTAAATCATGAAGCAGTCGACTTTCGGTTCACTACAATAATGCAACACAACTCCTTGCGCTTCGTAACTGACTGTCTCAGTCAACTTTGTCGTTCTGCCAATGCACTGGCGCCCAGTAAGCACTACCCATTTGTCACATCTCCGTCGCTAATGGTCATCGGGTAATCACCCGCTGATTATGATTAGGGATAAATTGCACAGATAATGCTAGATTACTCCAAGTACTTGGTTTGCAGAAAGAAAGAGGAAGTGGAAAGGACTGGTGTGTGGGTACTCATTTTACTTTAAATGATTGCCCAGCTCCTGCTTCAGCCTGGAAGACATGATGGACCGCACAATCCAGAATCTGGAAAATTTGGTGAAGGACTCCTTGAACATGGAGCACTGGGCGGTGGGTACATGGATGGAACAGCCCACATACCCATCCACAATCATCCACCAAAAGCCCTGTACTAAACTGGCCTTAATTATGCAACTCATGAGTAATCCTGAGGTGGACACTCAAGTTGTCCCTTGCAAAATCTTTTCATGTGGGTTGTCACGGTACACGGGCAGTACATAGCAAGAATTTGTAGGGGGGAGGGGGGGGGCTCCATCCTATGTGAAAGGTTATTTATGTACCAAGCTATGGAGCAAAAGAGATAAAAAAGAAAGAAAAAAAAGATCAATGGCTGCAACAGAGGCTAGATTTTGAAGTGGGTGAAGCTTTAGGGAGATGAGGGCAAACTCTTAAGGATTATGTGAGAACCCTCGAGAGCTTTTCGAACGCCGCAAGCAATCACATGCGACGAGCCTCAAGAATGGTGAGAGGCTCACCATCTTTGAGATCGATGAGGAACAAGGAAGCGATGGAGGAGAGAGTCGTAGCATTCTAGTTTGCTCCGCTGCCTTCTTGCCGTTGAGCCTCTCTCATCTCTCAAGCTAGCCCTAGCTCACGGGCTTATGTCTCTCCTGCATACCACCTTCGCCACTTGCTTCCAGGTTGCAGAGTGTTCAGTCCTTCGCATCGTGAGCTTCCTGTGTTTTACGAGTGATCCTTTGACGCTTTCCAATTGAGTTGTAGTTGTTTGGGTCCGACCTGCATGTATTAGAGGTGATTCGATGATCTCTGCAGAGCAGGTGAGTCTTTTCAGTCGGAGACTATACAGCTGGTTGACTGATCGCAGTTACGGGGTTGCGACCGAAGAAGAATCGTAGAAGCCGAATGTTAGACTGGTTACTTCGTTGATGAGTTGCGATAGATGTAGCAGAGCTTTAAGCTTAGGCTCGTTGGTTTCGGAAGATCTGAGTGGTGGTTGACTCGCCTGTTCTTCTCAACAGTGTTGGTTATTAAATTCGGCTATGCTAACATTTTATCATCTTCAGCTTGCACTTGTGACACATATAGGAACCTGAGATGCTACGTCATCTGAATATGCTGTGTACTTTCAATTGACTATGTCGCTGGTTCCATCTGCGACAAACTCTTTTTGTCGAAACATGGTGGCTAAGAGCGTGTTTTGTGGAGCTACGGAGATTCTGCTTAGAATCACTCGCTTATTGTTGCCTCAGATGATGGCATTTTCTCTGGTTAGCTTGGTGGTAGATTTGTGTGTGTACTTCGATAAAAATACAACCAGGTATATGTAATACTGATGAACCAGTTAGAATGAGAAAGTTCAACTGTTGTACAGGTATAATAGTTCGTCTTTGTTATGAAGGTTGAAGGCTGTCGAGTTAGTATCTAATTTCTAAAGAACTAGAATCAGTATATGTTTAAGGAATACGTATGCACAAACTTGGTGATCTCACAATTCCTGTTGTGGAAAAGAGTGATATTCAGCTTTTTAATTTTTTTTATTGTAGATTTTTTATTTTTTATTTTTTATTTTTTTCCAAATGTATTGCATAATTGGCAATACCATTTTTTGTAGAAGGATTTGTCACAGTTGAATATAGCAGGGTTTTGATTAATTGATTTGTTCATGAAGGGGAGTCTATTGTGTTTGTCTTTTAATTTTGAAGGAATTTACTTGAAACAGCATATCATAACTTCGAAACAAAATAAATTTGTTTCATGAGATTGATTACTGGAATGAGACATCAAGTTTGCAATTTGTTCATGATGGATATATCTATTTAATATTTTTTTTTTGAAAAAGACATTTATTATACAGATGTCATTACAATATAGTTTCTAGAAAGCATGGGATTGTTACTAACAGTAATAAAGAAATTAGTAATATAGACCTACATGTTACTAAAATTTATATAAATACATACACATAGAAAAAAAGATTTTTCGATGTGTGTATATATATATATATATATATATATATAAATATTTAATATGACAAAAAAAGTAAAATCCAATATATGTGATGTAATAAATTTTAATTTCAAATTAATGTAAGGTAAATATTATTTAATTTTCAAGCATAGAATTTATTAATTCAAAATTCAACATTTATTTGTAAATATGTATAAGATTTAATGCTTTTTTAAAATAATTTTTTATATTTTAATTTATTGATTTGGTTATATATATGTATACATATACATATATTTTAAAATACATTTTAATTTTAAAATATTGGTAATTACTATATTTTATGTTAATTTAAACTTAGAATTTGTTTTGCAATAAACCAGATACATATTTTTAATATGACATTTATCAACATAGCCATTTATTTGCTCAATAAATTAAGAATTTATTATTATTTTTTTAAAAGTAACAATATATTGTCTTCATTTAAAAGATTAATAAGATTTGTTTAGAATTTATAAAATCTATTTATAGATTATATTAAATTTTATTATTTTTATTTTTATTTCAATTTTGATAAAGATAAATAATAATAATAATAATAATATTTTTGATATAAAAGATAATTATATATATATATATATATATATATATATATATACAAGTTACATCTAATATATATTATATTATAAGATAACAATATCTCTTAAGTTATTTGTTTCTATGATGTTTTTGAATTATAAAATTAATTTGTGACCATGACATTATCTAAACAAATTATTTAAGAACCTTTTATCAAATAAAAATCATATATATATATATATATATATTTATTTTAATTCTAAAGACTAATTTTTATTTCTTAAAAGCCTTAATAAATCTATAAGTCCAAATTATGTAAAATATTTAAAAAAATTTATTGAAAAAAAGAATAGAATTATTTTTTATATTTTACAACTAAAAAAAAAGAAGATTTTTGGTTTACTATATATCATAGTACAAAACAATAGATAGGTGAAAGGAAAACAAGTATATTAAATAGAGGCAAGACCAAAGTTGTGATATAAACAAAAGATTAAAAATATAGATGAAGATGAAGATTATATTTAAATAAGATAATATTATTTTGTACTTAAATCAAGGAATAAGCATAGTAAGGGCATTGTCATAGATATACATATTTATCTTAATAATTATCTAGATAATATAAATAAATAGAAGTAGGTAAAAATAAATAAATTTGATAATATCTTATAGAAATGCTTGTGGTATAAGCTAACCATGTGGCACACATATAGGAAACTTACATTGTAAGTTAAGACATGTGACTTACATATTAGACATATGTTGGAGGTACAATAGAATGTTGCCATATAATTCTTAAATAAATAGTATATATAGAGGCAAGACTGAAGCCTTCTTCATTCTTGTCAACTACTTTTTTACTTCTAATCTAGTTTTAAGGGTCTCTAATTTTCTTATCTTTTGACAATAGCTACTCTAGTCTTTTTTTGAATATACATACTTTTTTATTTCTATTTTGTTATCTTTCTTTGAAAAAAGTCTCGCTTATTCATTTGCCTTCATTAAATTTTTATCCTTGATAAGTATTCCTTCTAATCTTATATTGATTAGCTTAATATAATAATAATCAATAATTAGTAAGAAACTAGCTTCAAGCCTCCATGCTTGTATGGATCCATGAAATTTCTTATTGCTGTAAAGTCTTTTCTTGTTTCAGTATAGCTGTATGTTGATCTTATCTAGTATGATAGTATAGAAATAACAAGGAAGGAGAGCATTTAGATTGCATAGTAGATTACCACAAACTAGTGTTGGAATTATTAAAGAACCAATTGAGGTTTGCAAAGGTTTAGTCTATAAAATCTAGTTTTCTAAAGCTTAGTTGAATATAGTATATATAATGTTTTGGAAATCATGTTGGAAATAGTTTTTTAAGAAATTTTTAAAAAGAGAATAGATGAATAAATCAAAGATAGTGTTATATGTTGTATTGAATGAAGCTCCAATAGAAGGGAATTGAGAGCATATGAATATAATCCTAAAAATTAAAGAATACAACATTATAAAAGAAAGTTCTTAAGAAGGTGAAACTAGAGAGTTTTACAAATAGATACGTGAACATGTATTCAATGCGACCAAATAATTAGAAGAATTATCAATTCAATATCAAAATTTGATAGAAGTCCAACATCAATATGGATCTAATATTTTGGAAAATAATATAATGAAGAAAACCTTATTTGAAGCTCAAAACTTAGATAATATTGGATCATAATTTGGAGAATTCAATCTACCAACAATTCAAAATACCTTGATAAAGGCAATAGCTTAGAGACTATTGAGATTGTAATAGAATCTTTCAAACTATCATATCTAATATTTGTTGAAGGAAGTCGAATAGATCATTACATTAACTAATTTAAATTTATCTTAAAATTTAACAAAATCATAGATCCAAAACAAGAAAAATAACTACTTAAGACTACTTTGATAGGCAATACTATTAATTTATATATTGACTCTTTAGCAAATATATCTTTTGCTACTTGGGAGGAGTAAAAACAAGACTTTCTAAAGAAATGTAAAACCAAATGAAAACTTGAAATTATTATCTAAAAATTGAAATAAAAATTAAGAGAATTTAATAGAAAATTTATATAATTATTTTAAGCATTTAGTATATAAATCAGATATTAGACCTATTAATGCTTTGATATGTACTTGGTTTACTAAAGCATTACTATTTTAGATCTAATAGAGCATTATTTATGTATAAGCTTCCACCTTTTAAAAATCATTAATGTCGTAGATATTATATTTTTCATGGACATATATAGTTATTTTAATAATTATCTATACAATTAAGTAGAAGTGTATAAAGGTAGATTAATTTCATATATCTTTTAGAAAAGCTTCTTAAAAGCTTTATAGATACTGCTTGAACTTTATACATGTTTGTAGTTGATAGATAAGCTAGAAACTTGGTCAAAAAATTTGCCATGTGTTATATGTGTTAATAGCTTATGAAATAAGCTTACCATGTGGTGTACATATAGATAACTTGCCTTGCAAGTTAAGACATTTATCTAACAAAGTCAATATGTGTTAGAAGTTGTATACAATATTGCCACATAGATCCTAATTAGAGAGTATATAAGGAGGCAAGAGTGAAGCCTTTTTCATTTTTTTCAATGCCTTTTTAGTCTTTAGTCTTATTTTAAGACTTTCTAGTTTTCTTATCTATGGAAACAACTATTTTAGTTCAATATATTACCATCTTTGAATGATTTACTAGTCTTTTCAAGTGACACAAAAGTAAACTGATATTTTTTTTTTGAGTTTCATATCTTGAATAATTTGACAAGAATACTAATTCATTACTCTTATCATATTTTAAAAGTAAATTGATTATTCTACTTCTATTATTGTATTTTGAAGGTTACAAATTATCCACTTTAAAAAAATTATTTAATTTTATAACACTAATTTTTTTCTTAAAGAGAACAGATTATCTTCTTTTGTAGAAATTTTCATTTCATATTAGAGGTTGTGAATTACCTTCCTTTAATTTGACTTATAAATTTGTTAAGTTGTTTGAAATAAAAAAAAAGTTCATGGATGCTATACTTGGCAAAAGTGAGAATAGATTTGTAACTATTGCAGATTTTTATGAATTTGTCAAAATTCTTAGAGTAGAAATTTCATGCATTACTAGTACCAACTACAAAAATTCTAATCCTATATCTAGAAAAAAGTTCAAAGTCTACATCAAAAAGTTGTGTAATTGAAGGAAGTAAGTAAAATCAATTTCATAATCAAATTTAGAAAGTTTTATTTTTACAAGTATGGTAGAGATAAGAATTAGTACGCTCAAGAAATTTGATGAAACAAGATCAAAATTTCAAAGATTTCTACAAAAAATAAAGTTCTATTTAAGATTGAATACCTTCTAATATTTTAATGAATTTATTCAAGTTGATATCATAGACACACTTCTATCTAGATTTTTTTTTTTTTTTTTTTTTTTTTTGTTTGCACTTTTGATGAATAAAATTCATGACTTCTTTATGATTTGAATTCATTCTTAGAATTTTTTACAACCACATTCAAAGAAAGTGATTGAAAAAGAGTAGCAAAAACCAAGCTCTTATCTGTAGGATAAGGATCATAGTCAACGACCATATATGCTGCTGATTTCTAAAATCTTGCTTGTGATGTGGACTTGAATGATAAAGCCCTTATCAATCAATTTTAATATGAGATAAAGAATAACGTTAAAGATTTATTATTTACAATGCCAAAAAAAAAATCTTTAGAATAATTTATTACTTAAGCCCTTGCATGTGATAATTGATTATTTGAAAGGCATCAAAAATAAAGACTTGGCTGAAGAAGAATAAGTCAAGTAATGACAATAGCTCTCAAGTTTTTAAAAAATTATTCATCAAGTTTGGAACTAATGTAAATTAATACAATATGTTTTAAATCCCTCACAAAGTAAGAAAAGATTCAACATTATCAAAGGGTTTGTGATTATATTATAGAAAAATTAAGCATTGCAATTACAAAATAAAGAGCACAATTTCCAAAAAAGCTAATATGTCAAAAAAAAAGTTTTTTTTAGCTACAATAAAGATCATGTCACTAAAATCATATATAATATATAGTAAAGGTTTTATCCTCTTTTGAGATCCATTATCTTATTTTATTATAGATGTTTGTTTAGGGCCCAAAAATCACAAAGTCTTTGCATTATTAG